ACACGCCGTAAAGCAAAAAAACCCCTACAAAAAAAAAAAAAAAACTGGGCTGGGCCAGCAGCTGGCATGGTAGTTAAAGTGCTGGATTCCCACATGGCTGATTGCAGGTTCAAGTCCTGAACTTCGAAGCTTGCTTTCTCACTTTCTCTGTCTCTCTGTCTCTAGTGAGCCCTATAGCAAATTAAAGAATAAAATTAAATAAACAATGTTTTAAAAATTAAACACACACACACACACACACATACACAGGGCATGTGTTTGTGTATGCATGCATGCCTAAAATCCTGAGAGAAGAACTGAGGAAGGGGAATGCAGCAGGGCTCCCTCTGGAGGGTGTGTTCTCATTCTTTCTTTATCCTCCCCCCACCACAGCAAACACACACACCCTATAGCAATTTTTTAAAAAAATCTTGATCATCCTATATTTCATAATTATATATGCTATTACTAAAATAAGACCTAAAGGAAAAAAATTCTGAGTTACAGGTCCAAAGAGTCATAGTGGAAATTCAAATGCCTACATTAAAAAATTTATCAAAAATTTTAATCTTTGGTATTTTACATTTCAGAAAGTACCTTATTTTAATGTAAACTACTGGGTCATCGGAAAATAATGACACATTTTTGCAGAGAAAAACAGAGCAATACGCCATGACTTTCCCAGTGACACAGTAATTTGCTCTTTCAGGCAGTAAATTAAAATGGGAGATGATTGAATTGAGCAACCAACTGAATTAGCACGTGTCTTTTTTTTTTTTTTTTAAAGAATAAATACTGCCAGGACAAACACGCTTTAAATGTCCTGAGGATGACATACCTATAACTACTGCTAACCTAAGTATTACTTTTCCATTCTAGCCAAGTCACTTTTCATGAACGTATATCAGTAGCAACCTTTGTATTCCCATCTTACTTTCATCTATAATACTTTCAACAACACAGAGTTAAGTTTTTAAGTATTTGCTATACACAACTTTTAATGTGAAAAAAGGTAATTCAAGTAGTCTCACCTGCACTTCTGCTCCATTTCATCTTTTAACTGCATTTCATTATGCAGCTGTTCTTCCAACTTATATATTGTTTTTTGCAAACTTTCCTGCTTTAATAAAAAACAATTATGCTTAAAATATTTATAGACCAATTAAAATTAGCAAGTTTATGTTATTATTTTACATGTTTTTATAAAATAATTATTTAGTTTTACTCTTTTCCTATCTGAAAGTTTTTAATTATGAATTTAACAAGTGTTTTCTCAAAATCTTCTAATATACCAGGCACTATGCTAGGTATTAGCAATACAAAAATTTAAAAGATTTGGTCCTTCTCATGATCCCAAAGACATATACATAAAGTATTATATGGTAAGGGATAATAAATTACACAGTGTCCTGAAGGAGAAAAAAAGATCTTTCAATTCTGCCACAAATACATAGTATTTGAGTCGAGACTGAAAGGATGAGAGATGTTTACCAAGCAGAGAAGGCGGTAGAGGGAGGCATTTTAGAATTAACACCAAGTCCAAAAGAAGGGAGAAGAAAACACGAGAATGAGAACTGAGAAGAAATTAAGTACAGCAGAGCACAGAATAGGGAAAACAACTCACATCAAACCTGAATAGGTTAAGTGGGCCTATGATCCTTGTATGTAAAAATAAGAGTTGGGGGATTTTAACCTGCGAACATTTTAAACATGGAAATCATGTAAAACTGACATCTCAGAAACATCACACCAATATTAAGGAAACCAGATTAGAGGGCAAACAATTTCTAGAAAGGGTAACCAGTTAACAGGCTAACGACCAGTCAGGCAAGAGAAAATACAGATCTGATATAAGAGAGAGGCTATGGTAATGAATAGGAGGTAACAGATACATGTGTCAGTTAAAGGAATTTATGACCTGGAAAGTATTCAGAAGAAAACAGATATAATACCATTATGAAAGACAGCACACACAGCTGTGGGGAGAGAATAGAGAATTCAGCTCTGGCCAAGTTGGAGGTGTCTGAGAGTGTCCAAAAAGAGAAAAAGATTAGGTCTGGAGTTTGGAGGAACAAGTTGGACATACATGAGATTATAGAAAATGCAGAATATAGGCATTTCAAATATAAGCAAGTAAGTTTTTTCTGTTTTTGTTTGTTTGTTTGTTTTGGGGAGAGATTTTTGCTATAGGGCACCAGCATTCTACAGAGAAAAAGACAGAGAGACAGAAAGCAAGAAATCACCCCCCCCGCCCAAGGGGGATGGATGGCCTGTCACAATCCTTTCTCTTCCATTCTCCTCTCAGGATTTGGACATGCACGCACATGTGCCCAGCGTGAGTTTTACACTACTGAGTCTGAGGCTTGAACCACAGTTGACTACATGGGAGTCCAGCAATATAATCATTATGCCATCTGCTGGTCCCAAGGTTTTGTGTTTTTCTTAACTTCTGTCTCTTGAACATGATCTACAGGGACAATAAAACTCAAGGCTAAAATTTACCAACTAGAGTGATTTACTCCTCAGTGAACAAATTAGATGCTGCTGACTGTACTGGTTATTCTCCATTTCCCCCATTCCCTTCCAGCCCTGAAGATCAATCCTCTGTTCTTTGTCTTAAACTCTACAGACTAAATTACTTGGGCTCTGTTGCTGTGTGATTTTAAGGTTGATTTCTGCCCATCACAGAAACTAGGAGGAAATCAGAAGATAGAGAAAAGCATTTATTTTCCTCACATTCTTCTTGCTTTACTGTGATTCTGGAAGTATTCCATGTTCCTCTTCTATAATGCCTTGTGTTCTCTGAGCTACAGTAACAAGATTTTCTCTCCTTTCTCCTCCAGTATAGGGGGAATGGCTTCCCATTATTGTTAATCAACAGGTGTTTTAACACCGTTTATTGTTCCTCTCTACTGATGTTCATGGCCTGTTAACAGTCCCTTCATTAAACTCTTTTCATTTAATAAATGCATAAACAAAATGTGATATATATATAGATGTGTGTGTGTGTATGTCTACATATACACATATACACACAACAGAATATTATTTAGTATTAAAAAGGAAGGTAATTTGGGCCAGCAAGTGTCATGGTGATAAGGCCCTGCAGCTTGAACATCACTCTGGGTGCATATATGTGCATGCCCAAAATTCCACAAGGAGAAGGGGCTGGCTGCAGTGTGGCCATCCCCCTTGGAAGGTGATTTTTCATTCTGTCTCACGCCGCGCTGTGCAACAAAAAAAAAAAAAAAAAAAAAAGGAGGTAAGGAAACTTCTGATAAAGTCATGTGTTGCACAATAATGTTTCAGTCAATGAAAGAAAGCATACACAACTGTAGCCTCATGGAGTTATAATAGACTACACCATACAGCTTACATGTGTAATAAGCTATACCATCTAGGTTTTGTTTTTTTAAAAGAATTATTTATTTTATTTATTTACTATTATTTTCTCACATGAGTTTTGCCAGAGAAAGAGAGTAAGGGAGAGAGAGGGCGAAAGGAAGCTGCCAGGTTCAGGACTCAAACCACACAGTCAGCCATGTGGGAATCCTAGTGCCTTAGCCACCACACCACCTGCTGGCCCCATTTAGTTTTATATTAAGTATACTTTAAGATGTTCTCACAGTGACAGATCACCTAACGACATACTTCTCACAGTGTATTCCCATTATTGACACATGAATGTATATATACAAGATGGATGAAACTTGAAGACATTATGCTAAGTGAAATAAGCCAGTCACTTAGGGACAAATATTGTATGACTTCCTTTATCTGAGGTCCCCAGAACAGTCAAATTCATTCAGACAGAAAGTAGAACAGTCACCAAGGCCTGTAAGGAGGGTGAAATGGGGAGTTACTGTTTAATGGGTACAGATTTTTAGTTTAGCACAATGAATAAGTTCTAGAGATGGATGATAGGGATGGCTGCACAACTATGTGAAGGTGCTTAATGTCAATACACTTAAAAATGGTTAAAACAATAAATTTCATATTACGTATATTTCACCACACACAGAAAACTTTCTTCATTTAAATCTTCTAAATGTGTCATCTGTTTCCTATAAAGATCCTTAATAATACATTGAATTATCATATATCCCTAATTCCAAAGATTTTTTAATCTTAACAACTAACTTGAATAGCAATTTAGAGTTACTGACTGCCTCCATGTGTTATCATTCCCTTTAATATTCAAACAAGAAATCAGACTGGAGAGAATACCAATAGATTAAAAAGTGCCATCAACATCTAAGTTCACTAGCTACACACTCACAAGTAATACATAATTTCAATATAATGCACACAAATATATTAACCACAAAATTATTTTTTAAAAAACAGTAAGAAAATACCTACCAAGCTTTTATCCACATTGGAGCTAGTTCTGTTATCATTAGGATTTGCTGAAGGTAAATATCTAGGGGTTGTGAGAAGTTTAAAAAGAAAATGAAACAAAAAACTCTTTAATATCCAAAAACAAACAAAACAATACCACATGTCTACTTTATGTTCAGTATTATGCTAGCACTGTTTTTTTAAAAAGTACAAGTACAGGGGCCAGAAGGTGGCATGGTGGTTAAGGGCACTGGACTCCCACATGGTCGACTGTGGGACCGGGAAGCTTACTTTCTCGCTTACTTTCTCACTTTCTCTCTCTCTCTCTCCTCTCCCTCTCTTCTTCTGCCCCTCTCTGGTATGTATGTATGTATGTATGTATGTACGTATGTATAAACAAATAAACAGTTAACATGGAAATGATACATATATTAAATAATACTCTCTTTGGTATGAACCAATACCCTAAAATTATACCATGTAATAGTCCTGCAGTAAATCATATGAACATACAGATTAAATATGCCATAAATAGCCTCAAATTAGTTCTGATCAGGTTTTCAGCCACGAGAGCAAGTAATGACAGTTTATGCCATTTACAAAGAACTAAAACGGTTTACAGTTTTGGGATTTAAGAACTGGAGGGACCAGCAGTTAGCATAATGGCTATGCTGCTGGACTCCCATGTAGTCGACCACATTTCGAGTCCCGGCCCCAGTGGCTTAAACTCACGCCGGGCGCGTGTGCATGCGTGCCCAAGATCCCAAGAGGAGAATGGAGAAGGGATTGCAGTGTGGCCATGCTCTGCACCAGTGGTGGGTGATTTCTTGCTTTCTGTCTCTGTCTTTCTGGCGAGCACACATGCCCTATAGCAAAAAAAACCACTACGAAAAAAAAAAAAGAACTGGAGATAATCAACTATTGACTCCTATAGACCTGTGTACAACCACCCACCTTGCCCAACTATCCTTCAGCAAAGCTTTTCTGACTGAAAAAAAAAAAAAAGTTAAGTTTTAAGATAAGTGGTGGAAATAACAGTACCAAAGTTTGGGTGCTGCCCTACTTATCTTTTGAGACTCTAAACCCTACAGAATTCTTTAAATTCAGTGTAAAGAATTATATATTAATTCAAGGTATTAGTGGGCTTTACAGGTAATCATTAGCTATTTTATGAGATTACCATATCTAAATAGATCATGTATGTGAAAAATCTTTCTAAGCTACCAATTGTTACATAAAAGTAAGGTATTGCTGCCACTGCTTCTGATACCACCTCCACCATGCTATCTATAGTCACTATTACTACTCCCATCACCACTACACTACAGTTAGCATAACTGCCTTGTTTTCTAAACTTGACCTGAACTGATTTTTTTTAATTACTAGTATGCACATGTACTTGCCAGAGACAGAGAGAGAGGAAGAGACCACACACCCACCTATGAGTCATCATCATGCACAACTTTTTCTCTCCATTTCTCCATCATGTCAGGATTTTAGACACATGTGCAGCTGGCATATATTTCAAGCAGCAGGGGCCGAAATTTGAACCAGAGTAAGCCATATGTAATCTGGCTTTCTATTCATAGCACTTAACTGCTGTACTACATGGCCAGCCCCTGAACCACTCTTACAAAAAAGTTTTGACTAGGGCCAGCTCTGTAGCCTAACCCCACATGGCCAAACAGTGGTTCAAATTCCAAACCTCACTCCTTAAAAAATAGAGTAGGTGAGGGACCAGCGGTTAGTATAATGGCTATGTTGCTGGACTCCCGTGTAGTCGACCGTGGTTCAAGTCCCAGACCCGGCGGCTTAAACTCATGCCAGGTGCGTGTGCGTGCATGCCCAAGATCCCGAGAGGAGAATGAAGGAAAAGGGATTGTGGAATTGTCCGGGGGTGAGTTCTTGCTTTCTGTCTCTGTCTTTCTGGCGAGTGCACGCACCCTATAGAAAAACCTCTCCCCCCAAAAAAAGAAAATAAAAAAATAGAGTAGGTGAGTGTGCATCATGCCCATATCCCAACAGGATAGAGAAGTGGAGGTAGAGAGGCGGTACTCACACCCCACGGGGGGAATGCTTTCTCCCCAAGACCCACCCCAAGTGCGTGTACTCTCTGTCAACTTAAAAAAAGGTGGCAAGAAAGTTTGCTTTAAAATAAGCTAAAATAAACTCAAATTTAATAATTACTCTAGGTAAATCAGGTATCAAATGCCACTCCAATGGAATGTACCATTGACCAGAAGTATATATTTTTGAAGTAATTTAAGCATAATAGAAAGCAGATTTAACATACCCAGCAACTGTTGCCACATAGTTCACTACTTTATACTGGTACAGCACTTTGTTTAGCTTTCTATTACGTAGTATTTAGCAACCTATGTTGTATTTATCTATTCTTCACTCAGCTGTAAGCATTTCAAGAGGAGGTACTATATCATATTCATCCTTTTCCATGCACCTTGTTGCTTAATATAAACCACATAGGGGTCAGCAGGTGGCATGGTGTTTGTTAAGGGCCCTGGATTCCCATATGGCCGACCATGGTTTGAGTCCTGGACCTGGTGGCTTGTTTTCTCACTTTCCCTCCCCCTGTCTCTCTCTCTCATTCTCACTCTGTCCCTGTCTGGTCAAATTAAAAATAAATTAATAAAGTTAAATTTTATAAAATTTAAAAAATATACCTCACAAAGAGTAAGCTATCAAACATATCTCTTCAATGAATTAATGCTCAGCACACTGAAATACTGCTAAATGTTTAATTTCTATCTCAAGAACAGTTGAAAAGGACTAAAGCTAATGTTAAATCATGTTATTCGTAATAATAGCTAACACTGAGTACTTGCTTACTTACTCCATTCAAAGCACTAAGTTACTGTACTTTAATTTACCTAGTCCTTAAAACATCTCTATGAGGCAAGTATTATTATCCATTATCATCACTATATTGAGGAAATGGAAATATAAAAAGTTAAAGTTACTTATTCAAGATCACAGACAAGTGGTATAGTGGTTAAGGCACTGGACTCTCACATGGCTGACTACAGTTCAAATCCTGGAGCTGACAGCTTGAAACTCATGCCAGGCATGTGTGCATTCATGCCCAAGCTCCCGAGAGGAAAATGGAGGAGAAGGGATTGCAGCATGCCCATCCCACAGGAGATGATTTCTTGCTTTCTGACTGTCTGTCTCTCTGGTGAGTGCACATGCTATATAGCAAATGTCTCTAAACGAAACAAATGGGGCCAGCAGGTAGCATGATGACTGAGGTGCTGAACTCCCAAGTGGACAACCATAGTTCAAGTTCTGGGCTTGGTGGCTCGCTTTTTCATTGTCCTTCTCTTTCTGTCTCTCTCTGTCTCTCTCTGGTGAATACACAAGCTCTATAGTAAATTTTTTTTTTTTTTTTTTGGAGAGGTTTTTCACTATAGGGGGCGTGTGCTGCCCCAACAAACAGGGGACAGAAAGCGAGAAATCACCCCCCAGGGGGGATGGCCACGCCGTAATCCCTTCTCCTCCATTCTCCTCTCAGGATCTTAAGCACGCACACACACGCACCTGGCGTGAGTTTTAAGCCAAGGGGTCCGGGACGCGAACCGAGGTCAACTAAGTGGGAGTGCAGCGACACAGCCATTATGCAGTTGACTACATGGGAGTCCAGTGACACAGCCATTACGCTAACTGCTGGTTCCCAAGCTCTATAGTAAACTTTAAAAAAATGATAATAATAAATAAACTTAAATAAATAATTCCCTTTTTTTTGAGAGCTTTTTGCTGTAGGGTGCATGCACTTGCCGGAGAGAGAGACAGACAGCAAGAAACCAGACCCCAAGGGGGATGGCTACGCTGCAATCCCTTCTCCTCCATTCTCTTCTCAGGATTTTGGGCATACATGCACATGCACCTGGTGTGAGTTTTAAGCTGCCAGGTCCGGGACTCAACCATGGTCAACTACATGGGAGTCCAGTGACGTAACAATTACACCATCTGCTGGAACAAATAAATAATTCTTTTAAAAAATTTATAGGCCTTTGGAAACATCAATAGAATGATAATGCCAGAAAAATCTGTATGTTGTTCTAAAATGTATTAAAAATCATTACTCTTTAGATAACAATATTAAACAAAATACTAGTATTAACAGCACTTTTGGCCTATCTATTGTTTTAACTTTAGGATAGGTAGTATAATATTCAACAAAAAGTTCCTGAAAGACAATGCCCTGAATGAGATTTAAAAAAAATAAAAAGAAAGAAACATGAAGTACTGGAAGTATCATACATTCCAAAAATTAGCATCTTAGAATAAAAGTTATCTTTATACAACAACTGAATTCACTTTAAAATTTTTTTGATATCTCTAAGTAAATAATGTGAATAAAATAAATCGGTATCTACTCCTGAAGTCACTGCTTAGCATACTTACCTCCGATTGCTATAATAAGTGAATCCTACAAAAGGTAGTTGATTCCCAACAAAAGCTTTAGGAATAGGGAATGTTTCTTCATCTCCTTTATCTTCTTCTAAGTCATCAAAATTACTAGTATCAATGTCACTACTTAGATCAGGTACAACTGGTGCTACAGCTAAAATGAGAAACAAAATGAGATGTTCATTTCAAATTTAACATACAAATAAAGCGAAGTTTCTACAACTGATACTGATGGTTTCTCTCTTACAAACAACATGCAGACCACAAATTCCAAATGGGTTGAATCTTATTATACACACTAAGATTAAAAATCAACTGATGTTGACCATTACATAATTCTATGAAATAATTTTCTACAAGTTGCCTGTATCTATCATCTATACCTCAAGTTTAACATAAATATTGCAAATATTACTAAGATTTCTTTTGGAATATACTATGGTATAAAATACTCAACAACATTTAGGACTAGAGAAAAGACTCTTCAGACATTACAGCATAACAAGCTGTACTAAGAAAAGGTTTGCTAGTTTCAAATACAGTTTGTTTGCTTGCTTGTTTATGTGCTCTATAGCAAATGAGAAGTAAAGTTTACCTCTTAGTCATCCTTGATAGACTAATCATTTGGTATTGAAATACTTTCACTCATCTAGAATCTAGATGATCAATTATCTCCACCCCCCCCCATTATCTCCATTAGACTGGGCCAGCCAGTGGTATGGTGGTTAAGCTGGCTGGATCCCACATGGTTGACTGTGTTGTTTGAGTCCCAAACACGGCAGCCTGAAAAACACACCAGGCACATTGTGTGCAGGCAGATCCAAAATCCTATGAAGAAAACGGAGGAGAAGAGATTGCAGCATGACCATCCTGTGGGGGTGATTTCTCACTTTCTCTCTGCCTCTCTATAGTGAGCGCACACACCCTACAGCAAATTAAAAAAATGAAAACAAACAAACAAAAAACAACCTCCATTAGATTAAGCCACAAGAAATAAAGGATTTCCAGCTCTATCATCAGACTTGCTATCTAAGGTCAACTAATTCAGAAAGAGTTCAATGAAGTGCTTATGATATAGCTGTCAAAAAAGGTAGAGATGCAAATCATGGACATAGCATCTTAAAGAATTATAAACTTGATGGGGAGCATGGTTTACATACACTTAATAATATAAACCCTATGTGACAATGTTTAAATATTCACAAAATGGAAAATAATAAAAGGAACTAACACTAAAATAATTTTTGGAACTTGAATATGCTACAAAGGAAATATCTAAAACTGTTAAGAAACTTTTTTTTTTTTTAGTTTTTGCTACAGGTGCATGTACTCGCAAGAGAGAGACAGGGAGGGAGAGAGGGACAGTGACATAGCACCCTCCCCGGGGGTACAATCCCTTCTGGGATTCAAACCACACATCCAGCCATGTGGTATACAACACCTTGACACTCATGCCATCTGTTGACCCAGAATTTTTTTTCTTTTTACTGCCAGAGAGGGTACATGTGGTCCCCAGAAAGAGAGAAAGCCCTCCCCCCCCCAGTACACACACACACACCAAATGGGGCATGGTCATATTTTACGATCCTTTTTCTTCCACTTCTCCATCCTAGGATTTTGGACATCTACACACACCAGTTTGGTGTGCTTTTCAAGCATCCAGAACTGGGATTTGAACCTCAGTTGGCCATGTGGAACCCAGCTCCCAAAGCATAGTGCTTAATCACTGTACTACAAGGCTGATGCTAGGAGAAATGTTTGGTTTAAAGACACAGAAACATAAAATACCACTGAATATTTACCATCATAATATTAAATAATTGTTTTAGATACAGTGATCTCATGTTCCTTGGAGAAGGCAGGCAAATGGCTCAACTGGTTTCATGGTTTTAAGCTCTTTTTTCTTAAATTGTCAGAAGATGAGTGTGTTCACCAGAGACAGAACAGAAGGAAAGACAGAAAGCACTCCCCCAATAGGATATTGTTATGCTGCGATCCCTTCTCCTCCATTTTTCCATCTTCTCAGGATTTCAGGCACACACATACTTGTTCGGCATGTTTTTTAAGCTACCAGGGTCAGGATCTGAAATGTGGTCAGCCATGTAAAATCTGGCTCCCTCCCTAAATCACTGGGCTATGGGGTAATGGAAAAGTTCTGGAATGGACAGTAGTGATATGATAAGACAACATAGACATACTTAAAGCCAATGATTTACACACTTAATAATAATTAAAATGGAAAATTTTATATTATGTATACTTTACCATAACTGGTAATTTTTAACAAGTTTATTAAAAAATAAATAAATAAAGAGGGTTGGCCTGGTAGGCTAATGGTTAAGGGAGACTAGATCCCCTGTCAGCCTGAACAGAAAACCAGGTGTGTGTGGTTTCAAATCCTAACAGGATATAGGAATGGAGGAAAAGGGATTGACCACACTCCATCGGGGAGTGCTTTCTTACCTCTACCTTTGTCTCTCCACTTCTTTCTGGCAAGCACATGTGTCCTCAGGCAACTAAGTAAAATATTTTTTAAAAAATCCTTTATAATTCTGAGAAAGTCTAAACTCATAAATTAAAGAGCCTTGAAACATGGTAGGTCCTAAATTCCTTATTCATGAAGCCCACACCGATAATCTCTTCCATAAAAATTTAAAATTCTCTCTCTCTTTTTAAAAGACAATCTTGGGGCTAGCAGGTGGTCTGGTGGTTAAGGCACTGGACTCCCACATTGGCCAATAGCGATTTGAGTACTGGACCCTGATGCTTGATAATCACATCAGACATATTTACCCAAAGTTCTGAGAGGAGAATGGAGAAGGGATAGGGGCATGGTCATCCCCACCAGAGGGTGATTTCTCACTTTCCCTGTTTCAGTCTCTCTCCAGCGAGTACATAGGCCCTATAGCAAAAACCTAAAAAAAAAAAAAAAAAAAAAAAGACAAGGTCTTGCTCTGTTGCATCGTCTTGCCTCTACCACCAGATAAACTGAAAGTGTAGGATCATATCATCGTTCCTGGTTTTAGGACGAACTGGGAACCTGGGAATAGAAGGCCTACCATGTAACTATGTCAACCAACATGTGCTACTGTAGCTGCACTAAGAATAGAAAAACCTAAAATAGAGTCTCAATTACTCCACAAAACCTAGAACGGTATATGTGAGGATTTTTTGTTGTTATTTTTAAACTGAAAACTTAACTCGTGAGTTGATAGAAGTATTACTGTTAGCATCTAGTGTATTTCCCATCAGCTACAGATGGTTTAAATAACAGCAATATTGTGTATCAAATGAGAGAATGAATGGCAAAGGGTTTTTGTAACCTACCTACCTCATTATATTTAACATAGTATTATTACTAATGTGTTTTTTTTTTTTTCTGTTTTTTGTTTTTGTTTTGAGAGGTTTTTGCTTTATGGCACGTGCACTTGCCAGAAAGACAGAGAGACAGAAAACGAGAAATCAACCCCCCGGGGGAATGGCCATGTCGCAATCCTTTCTCCTTCATTCTCCTCTCAGCATCTTGGGCATGCATGCACAGGCGTCCAGCTTGAGTTTAAGCCACCAGGTCCGGGACTCAAACTGCGGTTGACTATGTGAGAATCCAGCGACATAGCCATTACACCAACTGCTGGTCCTAGTAATGTGTTTTTATGTGTAATAAATGTTACCATTTTCTTTTCTCCACATTTAACTGCTATAAGTGTCAATTCCCTACATTTCTGGTTGGTATAATACTGAACACACAGAAATCTTTAAGTATTAATATTCCAAAGATCAAAGGTTTTGGAGTTAAACAGAATTAGAACTGAATGTGACACTGTTACTTGCTCAGTGTGATGTGTGGCAAGTTATTTGGCTGTTTTCATTTCTTTTATCTTTCTTTAGTCTTACCACTGTTGCTTCTTTAAGTATATCTCAACCTAGGAGAAAGATAATTGTTTACAATTTTAATACTTTATGTCTCTAAATTAAGGGTAACAAGATTGGGAAGCTCACATTCTGCCAAAAATCAAGCTGTCTTACACTCTGCTCTCACACCACCAAAGAACCCAAGGTGAAAACTAATTGCCAATGTAACTTGGAGACACTTCAATTTGGCATAATTACCAAAAACAAAACAAAACTATTATTTGTTAGGGAAAAAAAAAAACGAAACAAAAAACAAACCAATGTGCCAAAGAAAATTGGAGTAAAAAAAAAATTAAGGAATTATTACTATTATATCTTTTTTTTTTTAACTCAACAGATCAGAGAGGTCAGTTCAGAAGAAAAATATTCCTGGTATTTTGGGGTGGGACGTGAAGAAGGGGTAGGAAGGGGGAAAGAAGAAAAGAACAATAAGTTCTACAGATTTGGACTTCTCTTTCTTTTTTTCAAAAACCACAAAATAAGACCTACTCAGATTAGGAACAGCCACCACAATGTTCATAAGTATGCTAAATCTAACTGTACTGTAACAAAACCAGAGATGACAATATGGATCTCATAAAGATATAGAAAGAATACCAATACGAATGAAATCATGTTAAGAATAATCATAGAAAATCTTCAACTATAAAGTTTGTTTTAAATCAACAAAGTAACTCACTTGCTTTTTTCATAAATGAAAGCAGTTATATTAAGGAAATACAGTAAAATAATAAAATATTATTAATGTGGACACCCCAATTCCAAGAGACTACAAGCTTTACTTCGTTGGTGTGGGTCACTGCTGTTTTCCCAGTGCCTCAAATAAAACCGTGTTCAGCATGTAATGGGTGTTTAATAAATATCTGCTGACCAAGTCACTTCTCCTATTAATAAGAATTTTTCAATACATAAAAGGAAATACATGGGCTGGCAGGTGGCATGGTTGAACTCCCACATGGTCAACTGTGGTTTGAGTTCTGAACCTGGTAGCTTGCTTTCTCATTTTCCCTCTTTCTCTGGTCAAATTTAAAAATAATAGGGACCAGAGGACCAGCAGTTAGCATAATGGCTATGTCACTGGACTCCCATGTAGTCGACTGCGGTTCGTGTCCCGGACCCGGTGGCTTAAAACTCACGCCGGGCGCGTGAGTGCATGCCCAAGATCCCGAGAGGAGAATGGAGAAGGGATTGCAGCGTGGCCATCCCCCCTGGGGGGTGATTTCTTGCTTTCTATCTCTCTGT